AGGCGGAGGCCATACCTGTTGAGGCGGTACTTACCTGGGCGCCATAGCTGGACTCCAAGCCAGCGACCTGCACAGAGAGACACCCCGGCGGCAGTTAGTACATGCCGGCAATTACCTGCAGGTGAGACAGCGAGGAGGATGACATCTTCTTCTTCTTCTTCGTCTCGCCCTCCATCGCTTCTTCCTCCTTCGTCCTCCTCCTCCTCCTCCTCCTCCTTCTTCTTCTTCTTCTTCTTCTTCTTCTTCTTCTTCCAGAGAGAGAGAGAGGTTACAGGCAGATGTTATGAACATGATTGTCCGTTGAAATTTTATCAACGCTCACTCACAGGAACTCCCGTACACGCCCATACATGCACAGAAGGAAGGGGAGAGGTAGTGGAGGGTCACACCGCCCAGAAAAAAAAACGCAGTGGAAGACTCAGAGAAGTGAAGTGACAGAATACACAATTCAGTGAATTCTCTCCAAAGAAGTCCCAACAATCATTCATAGAAGACAACCGAGTGATCACAGCCAGAAATGAATGAAGAGATGACAACTCAAACACAGTATTACAACTGTTTATTAAACTCAGAGCATCGTTCAACTGAAATGACCTCAGAACCCTGTTGCGCTACCCTCAGAGGGGTAGCGCCTCAACCCCACACACACCGAGTAGCTAAAAATAGCACCAGAACCCCAGGTAACACCCAGCGCCACCCTGACATCCAACTCAGTGGCCTGCGCCAAGATGAAACAGGCTCCCAGAGCCAATCACCACCCAGATGATGAAGAAGAAGCTCAGCGCCAACAGTCCCTGATGGAGATGAAGTCCAGACGATGATACCCTCTGAGAAGATGCAGCTATGGCTGCATCGCCACTGGGACCCTACTCCTGAGGAGGGTCAGCAGTGCACCACGTGTTCCAACGCATCAGACCTCTGATAGCCCAGACCGCTTTGACTCCCAGAGAGTGAGAGCGGACAGCGTTGACCCCAGTCTGGTCAGCGCTCCGTGGGTCTGGTTATGTCCGCCGTCTCCACCACTGGAATCAGCAACCACGACCTGATACCGTGTGCGCAGCAACTTCCACCACGAAGTGTCAACTGCCAAAAGCCCAGGACCAATGTCCCCATCCTATCTATACCCTAGACTAGCCTAGACACGACCTAGACCGGACTGACTGACCGACCGGTACCGTTTCTGTTTCGGCCTCTAGGGCCTCTCCCTACCCGGCTACAGGCTATAGGACCGTCTATCAACGTAGGCCCATTGGGCCTGTCTGTCCTAGGGTTAGCCCGGGTCTGCTATTCGCAGTTAGGATAACTGTAGGAAATTCGAGTTAGTAATGGGCCCATATCTCCTATATTTACAAATATGTCCCTCACGAATTTTCCTTACAGGTAGGTCTCTCGGTTAGCCCTCAGCCAAACAAAATTACGAATCTGTCCCCACCTATGGTACAGCCTCGTCAGAGAGAGGCTACAGGCAACCTGGAACCAGCAAGTCATTGCACAGAAGTTACATCGGGTCATGAGGCGCAGGATCTGATTCGACATTTTGTGGCAGACATTGATTGGACATTCGGCAGGGAGATTATTTTTGGACTTCGCTATCGCGATCTTGGTCTTCTCCCTCACCTCCATCTTCGTCTCGCCTCTCCCCGACCTCCTCATCCGTGGTACATCCCCATGTGCGTGCTCAAGGAGGGACCTTTCTTCCATGTATGCGGTCCCTCCCCTTTCTCTCACATGTGTGGTGTATGATGGGGTGTCGCGTCAGTATCTGACAGGTCAGGTTATATCTTTGAGTCTTCCATTACGATACATTATGCTATTTTCGTATGTATCTGGATGTACATTGCTTGTTGATGCTTTGTTGACGCTGCATTGTCCAGTCGAGTCCTTTTCATCACTTTGCAGATCCTTGGCTCCTGTTATATGCCCAGTTGGGCAATGAACGTAGAGCCAAGGATCCGCAAAGTGATGAAAAGGACAAAAATGGACAATGCAGTGTGAATGAAATCTCAACAAGCAATGTTCATCCTGATACATGCAAAATGGTATTTTGTAACACAGCGAGAGACTTGGATATAAGTCCCGACTAGACTAGGTACTGACACAACATCTTATGGCACGTTACACGTGTAAGAAGAGGAGGGACACCAAACTGTTAGACACCGTAATAGTGCAGAACAGAACAAGGACCGACCTTCTCCACACAGTATCAGATAGCGCAGCGGAATGCTAGAATACCAATGATCAACCAATCAATGTCGAAGTGCAGACCCAACGTTCATCATCATCATTGCAAGGTGTGAAAGGGCGTGGCGCCATGCACGAAAGAGTGTGCCAGGTCCCAACCATACACAGACGAAGAGAGGGAGGAGCAGACGGAGGCGAAGAGGGGAGATGGGAATCTTGCCAACACCAAGTCTTTGGTACAAGTCCCAAATAATCCCTCGTCGAATATCTGAACCCCAATGTCGAGTCTGGATCCAATGTCGTCAAGTCTCAAAGTCACAACTCTCTCTCTCGTAGTCCGCAAATACTGAGAAGTCAGGCAGCGAGAGGGTGAAGAAGAGATGGACTTAGAAGAACTCTCTCTCTCTCTCTCTCTCTCTCTCTCTCTCTCTCTCTCTCTCTCTAACCTGTGAAGTTGGCGCCTTGATG